TAGATTCACTTTCTTGTGGACTGACGCTACGGGGCCATATAACTAAGTTCTGGGCCTGTGCGGCCTCCGCGAGCTAGAAAGACATGCGGGTAGGTTTTTAAGTAGACAAAATAGCAGCAACCACAGTCAGCACTTATATGACCGCCCGCAAGATCCGGTAATTTGGTAGAGAAGTGGGTTCTGATTCGATTTTATGAGGACAAGTCATGCACAGATAGCAAATAAAGACTGTTAAGCAGGTTCATGTTTGGACTTGGACGCTATTCCAAAAGCAATCTGGCAGCAGTATCCCGGATAAATTGGCAAAAATGGCAAAAACTTTCGCCACTTCTATGTGTCATAGACGTGAAATAATGCCCCGTCACCCGAGCTCGGGCCGTGGTGAGCCTCGGAGTCGGTATCCGTAAAATTCCCTAAATCGTAGCTTCCCAACAAATAATCTCACACCAAGCCCCTGTTGCGTGATCTATCCCACTGAGGGTTCACCTTGTAGCTAAAAGTCAAGACACGTGTTTCGTCTATATTCGGCGGCTGTATGACACAGCTGCGAGAATGTCAGCTCTTTAATAATTCCGCGGGTGTACCCCATATGCTTTCTGGCAGAAAATCGGTTTTGAAATTTAAATTTTTAATCTCTACAAAAATTAATGTGCTTATTTGACGTAAATCATCTACTGGCTACAGCCTAACAGACACTGTGCGACAAAAAACACAAACACGGATTAATTGGCTGCATAGAAAGGCTGGTCCTCCTCTGTCCTTGAGACTTGCCTTGTAAAGGAATATGCTTGGCCTGGGAATATCTACGCTGTGAAATTTAAAAGTGGATAAAGTCTATATTATATTTAGAACTCATTTTGCAGAACTAGCGCAGGCAGCTGCTAAAGCATTCGGTTATATTATTCTGGGTGACGTGAGGATTATTTTGTAGGCTGATGCTTAGAAAGAAAGTACTGACTGTGCTTTGCTATACGAAAATCTCAAAATCGTTAATGAGGCCATGCAAATAGAAATCACTTTAAATTAAGACTTAACAGCTATGAGAGGCAAACACATAAAGCATACGAGGCAAGTTTTGAAACAAGTCTTTTCTAACTGTTCAAATGCAGTAGAAAGCCTGCTAATACGTCTTCGGAAGGCAGCTTGAAAAAAGACCCCCCTGCAGTCATATAGTGCAATTCTGTAGAAGCTTATGATGCAATTGAGGACTTTTGAGCGACCCGAGGAGCACGTCCAAAGCAAGCTATAAACTTCTTTCGAACATAATATTGCGAAAAAGTCGAAAAAACCGTTCCATCTTTCCATGTTTGGAGCCGATTAGACCTTATACGACTTCATCGCGTCGATGAAGTTTCAGTTAGTTTAATTCCACCATGATACTCAAGGCCTCCGTAGTTACGTTAGTACAGAAACTCACGAAGCAACGACTGGACCCCTTTAAATTATCGTTACTGGGGGGAATAATGTTAAATGTGGTATCACAATATTGATAGATACGCAAGAGATTCTTGGAGGAAGGTACGCATCGCAGCATACCTCGTTCCTGCTGAGGAGCCCACTACACATATAGGATGAACACACTTGGATAATATAAAAAGTAGTAGTATTGCTCCCTTCTTCCCCAACATCTAACAGAAGACGATTTTTATCATTAAGTTCAGTAAGAAAAATAATTTATTTGGAATATGGTGTCGTCATCAAAAATTCGGCTA